TTAACTTTAGCAACTAGGAAGACCAGAAGGGAAGGGACTGTGTCTCCCTTCCACAACCATTTTAGATCGAAAAGGGCCAACCAGAACGTCTTCACCCCCGCGAAGACGACATTGCGGAGGTGTCGTCAAAGACGATTCTGGGAGGTCCAGCAGTTGAGAATCATAGTTGGAAACAAATAGTCAAAAAAGCAAATAAAGAGCATCTAACATATTTCGAGTCACTACATTGATTTTCACAAGTAAATACAGTCCACTTCACAAACCTAAAAATTCGCACAAAGTTAATTCGGCGTGCGACGTACTAGTTTAACTACCGAACATCGTCGGTGGAAAACAAGGTACACGACAACGGCTACTTTGTCATTAATAATTTATTGCAAAAACAGAAAAATTCTAGGCGTATGTTATGCTTATATTTCCTTTTAAGTATAATCGTTGATTACACAGGAATAATATTTACTTGAATTATATATATATTTATTAAATCATGTTGAAAATCTGTACCACGAATCTCACTCGTTGTTGTAGGACAAGGGGTTGTAGCGAGGCAGTTTTATTTTCCATATACCTGTATACATTTTTTCGCGTTCCGCTAAGGCCTGTGGGAATCGGGCTACGGTCAGTACACGCATCTGGCAGCCAGAATCGTACGAGTAAGGGTTTTTTCGATCAGCCACGTGAGCACTTTCACCGGGATTTTGGCGCATTTTGTGGCTTTGGCGTCAGTGTGGCTTGCTTCCTGTCCTTATCTAAGGGCAGGAGGATGTAACTCGGAAGACCAGCGGGATGAGAGACAGTCTAACTCAAGATCGGCAAGACGCTCCCCGAATGCAAGTCGCCCCCTAGCTGCACCGCATATTGCACTAAGATTCGTAGGCAGTGAAATAGGGTAGTTCCTTCCTCGACGCGATTAAAACGATAAGATTATCTTGCATTATACTCTTCCTCAATATTATTAGTGTAGACAGTTCGCCCTTTTGCGTGTCGATACTTGGGGGCCTGAAAGATAGTCCAGGCCCATTGACAAATTTATGACCAAGGGGACCACCATGACCTGGGTAACGTACGCCCTCGTCTGAAGAGTTTTCCTTTTTAGAAAAGCAGTTGAGGAAAAGCAGTTAGTCGCCGTTCCTCGTTAGAGCCACATCGCGTAATAAATATATTTAACCTGACTACGGACTTAGTTTTTATTTTAGTAGCCCTACATTAGTAACAATATAAATGCATCCACAGAGAATGCTCGTAAGTATATGTTCGCCACTGTATATAGGAAAAAGTTGCTTAGAATTACGTTCCCGACAACATATCTAAGAATCATCCAAATTAGTAGAGAATACTCCAAACTAAATAATTACCCGATAATATTCAAACTATTTAATTTTGTATTATCCCGTATGCGGCCACTATGTAATGGGGTTTTTATTAATTGGGCAAAAAACGTGTCGACGATAATTCACGAGAAACGCTACGCGTTCACACCTGAATTTCACCATGTGCTGACGTACAAAAGCGGGAGATCGATCGTCGAATTCCTTTAGAACTTCTCGGTCCGACGCGAAGACCCGTGCTGTAGTTGATTTTAGATCGCGATTCCGAGCGTGAAAAACGTCAGAGAGGTGACGTGACGACGCCACACGCTTCTAGCAAGCGAATGAATGTGTAGGGACAAGTCTACCAGAAGAAACTAAGTACGCAGTAAAATAAATCTGTTAGGTATGTAGCGGTCGTTAACTTGGCAGCTGAACAGCTGACAATAGAAAAACCAAATAAATACAAAAAGCCATGTGAACGAACTCGCGACGCCGCAAGGGCATAAACACACGTTAGATAGGCACGTCACCTTGCGGTCATTAACCTAGCAGTTAAACAGCTGACCAGTAAAACGAAATCATTTTAAATATATTACTTCGAGAATGTTTGACCGAGCGCGTATATAAACGCGATCGAACGCGCGCTACTTCTTCTTGCCGTACAACTCCTCGACCAAGCGCTAACGTTATACTTTCAATAAAGAACGAATTAACTGTGATTTTTAGAACACGAATATCATTCCTTCACATATGTACTTCACGTGTTGGTGGTTCGATGACGCTGCGCAATCGGAAGTCGGCGTACTCATCGTAACCTCTGTAGGTTTTATGGTTCCGTGGATTATTGTGGAACTGTTGATACAACCTCCTCTGCATTAAACCACACCGAAGATGGAAAGTAACTCGTATACTCACGTATATAACTCAACAAGTTTATTCAGAGAATCGGGAAAATGGCGTATCACGAACAATGTATCGATACGTGCTGATGGATCGATGGTCGAGTAGCGAACTAGACGTTGGCGGTTTTCTCGTCTGCCTTAACCGAGATCAGCATTACCAACTTCGTCAGAACATAGTCACTAGGCGCTTGCAGAGTGGCGCGGCAGCACCAATATCCCTACATCTACACT